AAAAAAAAAAGAAATTAGCAATGTAAAAATGTATAGGCCCTCCCTCCGTCCCCTGCCAAAAACCCTTAAGTCGCCAGAAGACCGTAAGCTGGATAGATCTGATCAACAGCACTTACAAAGTACTTTTAGACTAAGACAAATTAAGTATTTGAAGGACAGATAGAAAATATATGTAACCTTAAAAGATTAGAGTAAGGGAAATAAGTAATATGCTCCTACACAAAAGAGTAGTGACCACCCTCGATGGGGAAACCTACTTCAAATGTTCAGATTTTGGACACTCCAGAGCTGCTGTGCAATAACTGACATAGACCAAGCCACATGCAGAGTGCACATGTAATCCCAGCACTCAGGAGGCCGACATAGGAGGATCCCAAGTTTGAGACCAACCTGGGTGGGCTACATAGTGAGACCTTGTCTAAAAAGAAGATCAGTGAAGCCTTCAGGGCAGAACCCTGTCTTTTCTGCCCCCAGGCTGTGGTCCAGGGACAGCATGCCTGCCATTTCCTCACGTAGTGATGGGGATGGGGATGTGCTGGCAGCCACACCTTTATACCACAGCCCTGACAAAACGTGTACTGCCAAAGGGGTTGCCACAAATATCTTAAGACGAAATATAAAATACAGTCCACATAAACAGTCAACTCTATTAGAAGACTAGCTATGAGTTTTTAGTTATTCACTATCAGACTTCTGAACTGGGCTCACGATGGCCTTCAGGTGAATCCTATCAAAAGCTTTCTGGGAAGGGGTCAAAAGCTATTAATAGGTTCTGCAATGGGTTCTCCTTGAAAAATTATTAAACAAGTTTTTAAGATAAATATGTAAGATGCAGATGAATGCTTGATAGGAAGCTGAAAAAATTAAGTATATAGTAATAGCCCAAAGTTTTCAAAAGAAAATTCAAACTTCATGGGGAAACTATGTATGCAGAGACTCCGATGCTTTATAGTCCGGAGTGCTCTTTGCCTGCTTGTTTTTGATATGGCCATGTATCACCACCTACAGGTAACCAGTGGAATAACAAAAAAATTAGATCTAAAAAGTTTCCCCAAAGCTTTTACTAAGAAAAAAATTAAATGTGATGAAACTAATTATTTCAAACATCTCATCAACTAGAAAAATCCCAAGTCAAATAAAAACTGAGTTCATTCACTTCAACAATCTGCTAGCATACCATCTCATTACTGTGATGAGAATTCATTGTGCAATACACTGAACTCTAAAAATCCTATTAAATCGCTATATATTGACTGTTAAAATGCACTTCTATTAATTTTAAACTTTTACACTACATTTACAGAAGTACACACTTGTAGTCAGAGTACTCAGGAGGCTGAGGCAGGAGGATTGCTTGAACCCAGGAGTTTGAGACCAGCCTGGGCAATACTGCAAGACCCTCCATTCAAAAATAAATGAATAAATATAAAGAACACGTAACTTTATGATCTGTACATTATGTTGGTGGTCCACTTCATGATCTCTCATCTAAAAGACATGTACCCGGCCACAGACCTTTGAGAGCAGACATGGAAGTGAGGAGAGAAGAACTAAGCAGATTTACTCTTTTTGCATCCTTAATGCTGATTGGTGCCAGAGAGTTACTTGGTAGGAAAGGCAGCTATACTGTACTGGACATGTGTTGGACAAAAGCAAAACTGAACACATGATTGGTCAACAAAATTTCAAAAGCCTCTTTTATACAGACTGTATAAAACATTAAAGTTGTTCACATAGATCACTACTAGCAATGCTCCTTTTACAGATATCAAACTCAATGTCAGCTGGCATTACATTGGTTTAGCTATTCACTACATTCAGTATTTTATCGAGTCCCAAACTGAAATGCATTAAAAACATGATCCATGCACACCTATCAGTAATCCCAGCACTTGAAGGCTGCCTTGAAACTTGCCATCCTCCTGCCTCTACCTCCTGAGTAGCTTGGATTACAGGCGTACACCACCACGCCTGGCCCTTCCAATACCTGAAACCATCTCTCAATGACTTACAATACCTAATACAATGTAAACACCATGTAAGTAGCTGTACTACATTGCTGAGAAAATAATGACAGGGGAAAAAGTCTGTTTCCATTCAGTATGGACATAATTATTTTTTCCTGAATATTTTTAGTCTACAGTTGGTTGAATCCAGATGCAGAAGTCTCAGCTATGGAGGGCTGGTTCATATTCCCAGACTGTCCATTTACTTTCCAAGATATTCTACGCAAATGGCATAATTACACAGATTGGAGAAACATAGGTAATTTGGAGGTGCAGGGGGGACATAGGAATTACTAGACTGTGAGCAGACAAAGGAGACTCTGGGGCAGCAGATTCAGTGGTGCCTGCTGACTCCCACCTCCCAAGGAGTGCTCACTCCTGACAGAGGCACTCAGTCTCGTAGGCTGCCATGTTCCAAGGAGGATAGGGAGAATGGACCCATGAACTCCCTGTCTTTCAATTTGCAGTGAGGTAGCCTTCCTAGTCACCCGGCAAGTTTTCCCACTCATCCTTATTCCATGACATCTAAAACTCCCCAAGTGTCTCAAGTCATTTGTGAACTCTGAATTGTCAGGGAGTGGGAGGCTGGCTTCCAGAGAACACTACATTCACACAACACCCATAGAACTTCATAACAAAAGACCTGAGCATTTTTGCAATATGCAAATTCAAGCAATATGTAAAGACAACAGTAACAAAGATATAAAGTCAAAGCACTGGAAGGGTTTACCTTTTCTTCGTCTAGATGGATTCCACTGATTTCAAAATCAAACATAAACAGTTCAGCCACTCGCCTGGAATGAAAGGAGCCCCAGGTAAAAAATATATATACATATTAAGAAAAAACAGTGTTTTTGTTAAAATCAGCATTTTTGAAACATTACCAAAAGTTGTTTCAATACACACAAGCATACACACAATTTGTTTTTAAACAAGGACCTTAACATCTCAGAAGTCAGGAAAACATCTAGCTGAGTGACAGTTACGATGAGCTTGTTCAGAGACTGCAAACCTGTGAAAGCCGTCATTGTAATTTCTTATTTATTTAAACTTCATCCAAATCCCAATAATTAAAAACATAAAATGGTTTGTTTTACACTTGGACAGTTTTTCAAAGGCCTCTTGCACAAGGTTTCAGTTTTCTTCAACTAGGCACAGCCTTTGAACACTCCATCCCCTGAAGCTGGCTGGAGGGTGAGCTTCTTGGCTAAGGAGAATTGTTTTCTTTCTTTTTCATCCTGTTTTTTGCTTGGAACCAATTTCCAGTGTAACACACCTTTCTCTGGCAACAATATATATCTTTTAATTACTTTGTTTCTGGAGGTAGGCTAACTAAATACAGGATATACTCTTAGGCTTTGACTTTTCAAAATGGAAATATTTATCTTCCTGATTATTTGGTGAAAATGCATTTTTAAACTTTTCTGTTTTTTTTGTTTTGCTTTGTTTTGTTTTTAAAGACAGTACCTTGCTATATAGCCTCGGCTGGCCTCAAACTCATTATGGAGCCCAGGCTGGGTTCAAATTCACCATCATCCTGCTTCTGCCTCCAAAGGATTACAGGTGTACACAGCTGTGCACACCCAGCTCAAATATATCTTAAACGAACAAAATTAATGTTCTTCTAAACTTCTTTATCTCTCCTACCACCACCACCACTGTGGTACTGGGATTGGAACCCAGGGCCTTACACATGCTGGGCAAGTGCTCTATCAACCATCGACATCCCAGCCCAAGTTGTAAAATTCTGAAAATTCAACAGACCACATTAATAATGTAGTCATTTATATACTTTCTTAAATAAGAAATAACTAATAAGCCCGCCTAACTTGCAGATTTTTCACACATTGTTTTGACCAAGCACAGTCCAAATAATAATAAATTTTAAAAATCAAAAGCCATTTCAAAAACAGAAATTTCTAATTTCCATGTGCGTTACACAGCTCAGCTGACACGGAGAAGCTCTCAGTCAGTCTCCGTTTTCATCAGCTATATTTAAATCATTGCATAATCCTGTGAGTGCTTTCTTGCCTTTCATTTTGTGAAAAATCTGCCTTCCAAAAAAAAAGCCAGGCAAATGTGCTTAATTAAAGTGATAAAGTAACAGTCTGAGATTGGTGGGAAGGTGCATGTCTCTAGGGTAAGCTGTATGGTACGATAGAAGAATGAATGAAGCCTCCTCGGTCCTCTGCTAAACTCTGCATTTTTAAACGTGTGGGTTTTCCTCCACAGCAGCTCCCTGGAACCACAGATCCAAAGGTACCAATGGTCTACTGAAAGCTATGAAGTCAATACCCAACCCTGGTAGTCTAATTCTAGAGACCGGTTGAAGACTGTGCACATCCCAGCCACCAGCCACCTGCTACCAGTGTTGTGCCAGGACATAACGGGGCATCTGTCACTATTCCTTATTTTGTGAAATGAGATTATCACAAAAAGAATTTTGTGTCTATTTTTCTATAAGGGGATTCACGTTCAAGTAATTTACGAGTTCTTATTAAGGGAGGGGGTGGGGGCAGGGGGGAGAAATGAACCAAGCCTTGTATGCACATATGAATAATAAAAGAAAAATGAAAAAAAAAAAAAAAA